ACACATACTGATACAAGATCAAATTTTAGGTGCAGATTAGAGAACTAATACTGAGCAGATGGAAGTATTTTTCATATCCCTTCAGAGAAGTGCTAAGAGGGTCACTCCAGATATGAAGAGGATTGCCTTGAATCTTTACGCACTTGTGCAAATCTGACTTGGAAATGTATCACTGTTACTGGATCAAAATCCTGGAATTCTGATTCTAACAGAATTGTGGATCAAATGAACTGCAACAGTTCAAGAAGGCAACTCACCACAACCTTCTCAAGGGCAACTAGGTATGGGCAATAAATGCTGGCCTAGCCAGTGAGTGAATATAAAAAAAAGGCTTATAATAACATGATTCATGTTTATTGTTTTCCTTTTGGATTCTCCAAGATGATTTCACTTGCGTTGTGCTGATCTCTTTTTCATATTAGAGCCATGTCAAACTCAATGTTGTTTTCATTTTAAATGCCCATATTCAACTCAATCTGAGCCACTCGGCAGAAGTGGATTTAAACATCCCTGACACTGTCCAGATGATGGCATTTAGCTGGAAGTCTATGATCTTTATGTGGTGATTGCAGGATCGTGAGACAGAGCAGTGTTCTGCGGCAACATAGAGTCAGGTTTTGACCCACAGTGCCCTATCTGTCATTCACTGTGACGTGCCATTTTCTGTGATATGGAAAAAACTTGTGAAGAACATCGACATTCCTATTTGTAAATACTTAAGAAACACACGCCTGGACAACACTATAAGTCATGGCAGCCATATTGGGAAATAGCAAATGTTATCACTATATCTGATATCAGTGCACTATCAAGATGCATAGAATCATAGGACACATTCAGCACTAAAAAAAAACATAACTAACTGAATAGCTAGTATCCATGACTTTGACCCACTTCAATGAAAGGCAATCAACAGAAACTGCACGGACAATGCACAACACAGCCACCAGCTACAAATTTTGAGGATAAGGACAAACTGAAGTCTGATTGTGGCCATGAGTCCTGGGCCAACACATCATTTCTCCATTTGACATCTCAGGAAACCACTGACTGGAGAGAGTCAAATTAGACAGTATAATAGATTTCCCATCGTTCAAAGCAATAATAGTGAAATTGTGATCCTTCTTATACACTGTTCACTCTTCCACACCCTGTTCTAGAATTTCAAATAATAGATTTTTAACCCCTTCCAATGAGAAAGTAAGGTGCTAGATTCTTTCAAGATGGCATCAATAAAACCTAAAAGATAGAAAGGAAACATAAAGGTATCAGCAAATTATGATTAGATGGTATAAATGTAGATTTCAAGAGCCACAAATTGGAAAAACATAGGAAGTTCGTTGCTGTGGTGACCTGAGAAATGATGAGGTGAAATTTCTCTTTGGTGGTTCTGGGTAATAAACCTCAGGGCTTGTCCAAATCTGGAATTGATGCCTCGTTAGTATCTGCAACTCAAGGAAATTAGGTTAATAAAGCATCCTGATGTACATCACTCTGGTTTACATGTGGCACTCACAGCATCTCTCAGATGCTAGGAGAGGAGGCTGAGGTAACTGGAAACCCATGGCTGGAGCGGTTTTACTGAGTACCCAAAGGTGAGCTGGCAGCACTCTGGACCTGTGCTACAGGACCAGCAGCTGCTCAGTTAAAATCATGCACGACTGGGTCCAGTTTTGCAAAAATAGAACTCTGTGATTAATTTGCAATTTAAAAGAGTAGAAATGTAGAAAGAAGTGAATGCATTTGTCTCGTTGGACATTGGAGAAGAAAGTTCAAAGGAGTTGGGGAAACTAATGGAGCTAAAGACCAATAAATTCCCTCGACCTGATGGCTTGCATCCTAGGATGTAAAAGGGAGTAGCTACAGACATAGAGGACGGACTGACAGTAATCTTCCAGGAATCTATAGATTTTGGAAATATTCCAGAGGGGCTACCAATGTAACACCTTTATTAACAAAGGGAAGGAACCAAGAAAAACCAAGTTACTATGGGTCAGTTAGCTTGTTATCAGTTGTTGGGAAACTGTCAGAGTATTTTAAAAAGAATGTGACAGCAGAACATTTAGAAATGCATAATGTGACCAGGCAGGGTCAGCATGACTTCATGAAAGGGAAGTTACATCTGAGAAATTTAATAGAGTTCCTTGAAGACATAACAAGCAGGATAGATCAAGGGAAGGAGTTGGTGTAATATATTTAGATTTTCAAAAGATATTTCATAAGGTACCACACATTAGGCTACTTAATAAGATTAGAGCCCATGGTGTTGGAAGTAGTTTATTGGAGTAGAGTGGTGTTATTTTTCCCATATTATATTCCACCTGCCAAGATTTTACCCAATCACTTAACCTGTCCATGTCCCTCTGCAGACTCTTTATATCATCCTCACCACATACCGTTCGAACTGTTTTTCTGTCATCTGACAAACTTGGCTAAATTGTATCATTTTCCTCATCCAAGTCATATATGCATCCAAGTTCAGCAGTGATAGAAAAGGTAAATAGAATGTTGGCCTTTATTTCAAAGAGAAAGGGGTATTAAAGTAGAGAGGTTTTGCTAAAGCTATACAAGACGTGGGTCAGACCAGGGCTGGAATACTATGATCAGTTTTGTGTTCATTATCTAAGGAAAGATACATTAACAGTGGAGACAGTCTAGGGAATGTTCATTAGGCTGATACCAGGAATAGAGGGACTGTTTTATGAGAAGAAGTTGAGTAGATTGAGCCTGTACTCATTGTAATTTAAAAGAATGAGAGATGACCTTGTACTCATACAAAATTCTTAGAGACTTGACAGTGTAGATAGAGGTTGTTTCAGCTTGTGGGTGTGTATAGGACTAGAGGGCATAATCTCAGAATATAAGACTTCTGTCAGAGGGTTGTGAAACTGTGGAATTCTTTACTGCAAGGGGCTGTTAACATTTGGTCATTGAGTATATTCATGGCTGAGATAGGCAGATTTTTAATTTGCAAGGGAATGAAGGGGTTACAAAGTTAAGGCAGGAAAGCAGAGTTGAAGATGATCCAATCAGCCATGATCTCATTGAATGATGGAACAGACTGAATAGACTGAATAGCCTTCTGCTTATATGTCTAATGGAAAACTAACTGTAAATGATAATGAAATAAAAACCAGAAAGATTATGATGAAGAGAGATTGAGAAGCCATCATTGAGACTGGGATCATATCCTGGTGATGCTCTCACTGCATGTGCCTTATGAACCTGGCAATTGGACCACAGCAAATTGGTCCATAGCTCTTGCTTTCTTACCAGTGACCTGTGGGTTCCATTCATGGCTATTGGGACAGCTGACTAGCCATGGGGAGGAAGAAAATTTAGCTTGCTTGTTGATGGTCAAGGTCTGCAGCAAACTTCAGCTGGGGAAAGATAACCAGAAGGAGGGCCAAGCATTGGCCAGGAGCAGCCCTTGGATTTATTGTGGGGCTGCGAGAAAGAACATTGGGCCATGTTTCCTCTTTAGCATTCAAAGCATAAATGCAAATAAAATGCATTAGGTCCTAATTTTGTGGCCTGGATCACACAGATCCTTCCTGAGCTTTCACATAGTCTAGGTTCTCGTATATATCTCTCTTGGTAGGTATTGACAACGGGTCCCTCCAATTTATACTATATCTGCAGAACATCCGGGAAATTGTCTCCACTATCTGCAAATGTGCTTGATGCTAAACTCCTTAGCAACCCATCAGATGGATTCTAGTATTGTGGAGGAAAAGTGTGCTCGAAAGGAGAAGTGCAAGGACCCAACTTCCTGATTCCACAACATAATGAAAGTCTTCCAAGTTTTTGGATTTTTTTGAGCATTACAAGCTCTGACTAGTCCAAACAAATGTAGAAGCCTGTTCGACAATGAACACAGAAGCCGCAAGTAAATACAATATCCCCTAACCAGTTTAGCAGTAATCTGAATGCACGAGCAAATTAGGCCATGTTTGTTATTATTACATTGATTTATGGCCCATAAAATGAGCACACTGCAGTGAAATTGAGACTTAATTCATCTTTTGAATATGAAGTCATTCAGATCTGGTGCATTTAGGCTGACTGTCGAATATCAGGATGGAAATGGGTGAGGAAGATCAGCTGAGTGGTCAAATTCCTCCAAATGTCTTACTGCAACTCGTAGCAAGGTAGAAAAGGAAGTATTTAAACATGTGCATATGAGGAGATTAATGCTCTGTCACCAAATGATAAGATTGGATCTTGCATCTACAATGTGAACTAAAATCAGATTTTGGAGCAATGAAGGAATTCAAGAAGACAAAATATTATCAGGCTGCAACATGCAGGTAACCTCTTATTTGCTCATCTTTTGTGGATAGTGACATGAAGAATGGTGAGGTTCCTTCACTAAGTAGCTGATGTATGTTGCTGAAAGTAGACAACTTCTTCCTGTGCAAAGAGAGCTCTGCTGGTATTGGATCTCATGAGTGAATGATGTGTCTTTTTTCTAACAGAGGCATTTATCATTTTGATGAGCACCAAACGCACCCTATGCAAACTGTAAAAATACAATCCATCAGAGTGCTGTGTTATTATGTTATCAGAAACAAGAGATTGAAATATCTATAATTCATCTTTTTTTGTAAAACTTCATGAATTAGAAAGGTATCTCCAATAGTATTGTGTCATTTAAATAGTCTATTTTGCATGTACATCTTATGCATTCACATTGTCTATGTCGTAATCAGAAAACTCCAAAACAAACAATTGACCTAATACTTTATGCTGTAAGTACCTGGAAACGCAGCTATCAGCAAAGTAGGTTTGTGGCCACTTTATTGAAAGTTTGCAGTAATAGCAAACCTCAGTATTTGTAAATTTGAAAGATTGAACTCAACGTATTCGGGTCAACATACTTTCAAAGCACGTTTAAAATAAAATTGATTTTGAGTCAATGTATTGCACTAGTTCAAATGTTTTTAGTGCCATTATATTATATTGAGAAATGAATTAACTTTTCTGTTATGTTTTCAAAGGATCCTCATGCTAGCTTTGATTTCAATGACCATTTTGATGATCAGCATGATCCAGTACCTGAAGATATTGATGGATCTAATGGGTAAGATGTTTTGACACACTTTCTTATGATCAAATGAAAAGTGTGAACCCATTCTCCTCCTTCCAGCATGCTCAGTTGATCACAACAAAGTTCTTTACAGCGCGAGGTGATAACTCTTTTCAATGAAATATAATGAACTATTTTTCCTATAAGCAACAAAGAATTGATCACAAGGTTTTCTTGAGCAGAAGAAAGAGCAAATGATTAAGAACAGGATAGTGGCCTGTACAAAGAAAGCTAAAAGAATACACAGTTCAGATTTCTTTGGCTGTTGGTTTTTATTCATGCATGAGATCTAGGTATTATAGGCTAGGCCAGCATTCATTGTCACAACAAAAACAGAAGTCGCTGGAAACGCTCGGCAGGTCTGGCAGCATCTGTGAAAAGAAAATCAGAGTTAACGTTTTGGATCTTTCTTTTCCTGTCAAACCTTCTCAAAATTTTTTCTTCAACGGTGCATTCTTATTTGCATATTTCTTGGTCTGAAAAAGAATGCTCTTTGAAATAGATGTTGTTTACATATTCCATGTTTGCGGAGGGCTATTGTTTCCAGGCTGGTAATTTGCAGTAGAAGTTTCATATTCAACATGTGAAGATTCTCATAATAATAGGAGCTGAGGACCTTTCCACACGTCCCATAGGGTCTGACCGACTGATTTCATTGTCCTTCGAGAATATGTTAATTTCAGCTGTCACTGTCTTTAGCTAAATCCACATCAGTTTCTTGAACTTTGGCCAAATTGTGAGAGCCAGGTGATCCCAAAGGCCATTTTAAATAAGTTTTTAGGTTTTTGTCCATTAAAGTTCCAAGTTCAATCAGCTGATGGAAGCCAAAGGTCAGGAGTCTTTTTATAGATATTTTCTAATCAAACAATTCAGAGGTCTTATTACTCACATCCGCAGCAGATGAGACTTGACCCTGGGCCCCCGGCTCAGAAGTAGGCTGGCTCATAAGAAACGTAGGAGCCTTTTATACTATTGAGATAGTATTAATGATGCCTTCTTTCCGACAGTCTGCATTTTCTAATTATTTAATGGTTTGATTTGGTGGGTAGAGCCCGGTGCAGGTGCTTCACTTATTGGACTTTGTCCCTATCCATTTCCATTCCACAGAGCTAGTTACTAGTACCCAGCCCTCAGTCCCACCCTAGCCATGCTTTTTGTCACCCAAACCCTGTGTTTCTCATGCTAGCTTTGATTTCAATGACCATTTTGATGATCAGCATGATCCAGTACCTGAAGATATTGATGGATCTAATGGATAAGATATTTTGACACATTTTCTTACGATCAAATGAGAAGTGTGAACCCATTCTCCAACCTTGGTTTTGGTTCTTGACAATGATGAGACTGGGTTACAGAATGGCACAGGAAAGGGGTGAGGGGGATCAACATGGAATGGGAGGAGGTGAGGATGGCATTGGAGGAGGAGTGGGCAGCAGCATGGCAATAAGGGAGAAAACATGAAAAGATGATCAGATAGGAGGAGAACTCTCCCTCCATAAAATGTCAAGGGGTGGTTGTTGTATCTCATTGGAGCTGGTCATTGCCTGGCATTTGTGTGGCGTGAATGTTACCTGCCACTTGTCAGCACAAGCCTGGAAATGGTCCAGGTTTTGTTGCATTTGAACATGGCCTTCTTCAGTATCTGAGGAGTCGTGAACGGTGCTGAATGTTGTTGAATTATTGGCGAACATCCCCACTTCTGACCTTATTCTGGAGCGAAGGTCATTGATGAAGGAGCTGAAGATAATTGGGCTTAGGACACTATGAGCAGGTTATTGCTGAGCAGGTGCTACTTGGTAGTGCAGTTGATGCCACCTTCCATCGCTTTACTGATGGTTGAGAGTAGGCTGATGTATTTGTGTTGTTTTTTGTGTACAGGACATACCTGGGTAATTGTCCACATTGTTGGGTAGATGCCCACGTTGTAACTGTACTGGTACAGTTTGGTTAGGGGAGCGGCAAGTTCTGGAGCACAGGTCTTCAGTACTCTTACAGGAATGTTATCATGGCCCATAACCTTTGCAGTATCACTGCCTCCTACCATTTGCAGTATCACTGCCTCCTACCATTTCTTGATATTACGTGGAGTGAATCGAATTGGCTGAAGACTGGTATCTGTAATGCTGAGGTTCACTGGAGGAGGCCGAGATGGATCATCCATTTGGCACTTCTGGCTGAAGATTGCTGTGAGCGCTTCAGTCTTATCTTTTGCACTGATCTGCTGGGCTCTTCCACCATGAGGATGGGGATATTTGTGGAGCCTCTCCCTCCAGTAAGTTGTCTAATCGCCCACCACCAATCACGACTGGATGCGGCTGGACTGCACAGCTTAGATCTGATTGGTTGTGGGATCATTATCTCTGTCTGTAACTTGCTGCTTCTGCTGTTTGAGATGCAAGTCGTCCTGTTTGGTAGCTTCACAGGTTGACACCTTATTTTTAGTTATGCCTGTGGTGCAGCTCCTGGCATGTCCTCTTGCATTCTCCACTGAACCAGGGTTGATCCCCTGGCTTGATGGTAATGTATGAGTGGGGAAATGCCGAGCCATGAGCTTGCAGATTGTGCTGGAGTACAATTCGCTTGCTGTTGGTGCCCCACAGCCCTTCATGGATGCCCAATCATAAAGTCTGTCCCATTTAGCACAGTGATAGTGCCACACAACATGATGAAGGGTATTCACAAAGTGAAGGCAGGACTTTGTCTCCACAAGGACTGTGCAGTGGTCACTCTTACTGATTACTGGAACCACTCTGTGGGTTCCTTTGCCACAGACCCAGTCTAGCAGCTATGTTCTTTAGATGAGCTTGATCAGTTGTGCTGATGCCGTACTACTCTTGATGAAAAACATTGAAACCCCCTACAAAGAGTATGTTTTATTCCCTTACCACCCTCAGTGCTTCCTCTAAGTGCTGCTCAATATGGATAAATACTGATTCATCAGCCCAGGGAAGACAGTACGTAGAAAGCATAAGACAGTAATCAGTAGGAGATTTCCTTGCCCATGTTTAACCTGATGCCAGGAGACTTAATGGTGTCCAGAGTCAATGTTGAGGACATGCAAGTCAACTCCCTCCCTCCAGTATACCACTGTGCGACCACCACTGCTGGGTCTGTCTTGAGAGTGTGACAGTGCGTATCCAGGGATGGTGATCATGGTGTCTGGGGCATTGTCTGTAAGGAATAAATCTGTGAGTATGACTATGTCAGGCTGATTCTTGACTAGTCTGTGAGACAGGTCTCCCAATTTTGGCACTAGCTCCCAGATGTTAGGAAGGACGACTTTTCAGGGTCGACAGGGGTGATTCTGCATTTGTCATTTCCAGTGCCTTGGTTAATGCTGGGAGGTCCATGCAGTTTCATTTCATAGTTGAGACTTTGTAACAATTGATGCAACTGAGTGGCTTGCTTGGCCCTTTCAGAGGGCCATTGAGAGTTAACCACTTTGCTGTGGGTTTGGAGTCAGATGTAGGACAGCAGATTTCCTTCCCTGAAGGACATTGGTGAGCCAGATGGGCTTTTGACAATTGACAATGGCTTCATGGTCTGCTGTGGCAGGAATTGAACCCTGGTTCCCAGAACATTGACTCAGTTTTTGGATTAGTAGTCTAGTAATAATACCACTGGGCCATTGCCTCCCCAATGTGATTGACTCTAGTAAGACACTCAAAATGGTCTTATTGCAATGCCTACATCTCATGAAAGAATAGATCAATTTAAGATCTGCTGAATATCAGCTGTGGTCCATAGTGAATTACTGTGAAGTCAGGATTTTTTTTTGCTTGGTGTAAAAGTTCTTTATCAACATGTTTGTTACAGTTAGAATACACAGTATGTCATCTCTGGCTTTATTAACCTGATGCTTTCATTGCTTCTAGTGTGTCTAGGAAGATGAAGACAGGAGTTGGCAATTTGGCCTGTCAAACCTGTTCCACTATTCAGTTAGATCATGACTGATCTATATCCAAGCTCCATTTATCCAGCTTATCTCTGGATATGTTTACTTAACAAAAATCTATCAACCTAAACCTGGAAACTTAGTTGACTCAGTGTCCATCCACTTATCATCTTAAATCATTTATGTAATTTTCAGATAGCACCTATTATGAACATTATTTTTGTTTTTATTTCCCTGAATTGTGCAGCTAATTGAAGTGGTAATTTTGGTGTGGATGACTTGCACATACTTAGTTTGTTGGACATTGCCCCAGCTGGCAAATATTACCATCAGTGACATTTGGCTTAATTTTAACAGGACCACAAGCTAAATGTCAGCAAAAGCAAAGGCTGTCTATTTTGGCTTCTGAAAAAAACATAGAAAAGCTCCAGCCTTCCTCCTGGCTGCCATCTCCGCCTTTGATGTGCAGAACTTTGGCATAGTCTAAGCTCAACTGCTTTCCCTACATCCAAACCACTGCTGATACAACTTTCCTTTCACTTCCAAAACAGCAGCTCCCTCTGCCCTATGTAGGACACCATATTCTACATCTTTATCCCTGATTTAAATTACTTCTTTTTCTCAATTGTCTCCTTGACAGCCTCCCTTTATTCACCCTTTAAAAATACAAGACATCCAGATTGAGAGAATCTCTGATTTATCTAGTGAATAAAGAAATTAGATCATAACATTGCAGCTAAACATAACATTATCAATAATTAACATTTCAGGTATCTTTTCAATAGATATTAACTAAATGTTAATGTATCAGATTAACCATTCTTTTATGTAAAGTACTTAATGTCTCCTTGAATACAATACGCTCAATCTGTTATTTTCAAACAAAAACACAACTGGGACCACATAAAATAAATTCTTATGTTTCTGAATCAAAATGGAAAATTCCTAACTTTATTGCAGTGATAGCCATTCGATTTATCACACTTGTATCACAATCACCTGGATTCTGTTCTTCTGTTTCTTTACATGTTATCAAGTCATGGAACAAAGTGTGCTGGCGAGGTGGCAATGGAGGCTGACAACAACTTCTGTGGGGTTGGCATTGCACATAATGCAAAGATTGGAGGTAATTAGATGTCCAACTGTGGCGGGACGAATGTGAATAAACTTTGATATCTATTTTGTTATGCCATTGCATTACCTCTGGTCAATTATAATTGCAATTGTGTTCGATGACACAGTGGGCAAACAAAATGTATATGTCACTGCGTTTTTTCTGATGTCAACCAATCACTGGGATACTATTTTGATTATACAGCGCAACACTTTTGCCAATTTCCTCTGATTTTGATAAAGTTTTTGTCAGCATCTTTCTAAATATAAAACTTGACTTTCAGCATTTCCAGCGCAAATAGTATGCAATGCAGGATCCTAGCTGCTGTGTTGCAAACACATTAGATTAGGAGTGAAACAATAGTATTACTGTGATTGGCAGTCACACTGTTGTGGAACTCCTGGTATACTCTCCAGAACATTCATTTTCAATTTTAATTGCCTTTCTATGTCACTCTTATTCCTGTTGCTGATGTGACTGTCACTTATATTTTTAAATCCGGTTTGTTTCCTTTATTAAAGACAGTGAAGCAGAATGTTACACAGAAAGCACGGCAATCCAATGACAGTAATGAACTCCTCAGTGTCTGTATATTAAGTCTTGTACCATGCCAGCTATCATTTTAGTGCTCATCCTTGCCTCATGCCTAAAGATCTGGTAAATACTGTGATACACAAATGCTTAAAGGTTCCTTGCTGCTGAATTGCTGCACCAGAACAAAGGGTGCAGTATGATAGGAAGCAGGAACTGTTGTGTAGGCTGTTCTAATGTTGGGAACTACAGCTAAACCTGGTCTTGCCCTCAAATGACATTTACACGTAGATCTCTTTCAAGCAGAGATCATTCATTTCTGATTAGAAGTGAAGGAGCTGAATCTTTTTCATTTTAAACCTGAAGACATTGCAGTTATTTTCAGTTCATGTATATATTAAGTAGGTCAGGAATCCTGGAGCTATATAATGATATTGGTGGTCAAATCTCAATATGAGATTCACAGCTGCCAATACTGATAGGTAGACTGTTCGTCAACTATGAGGCCAGGTTTCCTAATGGACATGCCCCTATCCTTCACTTCTTTTTGAAACCAGGCTTTGGAGAAGCCTCAGCCCACCTGTCACCCGATCTAGGATTTCAGATGGCACTATGAAAATGTTTGTTGGACAGGGAGACAACAGGGTTATTCCCTTTAATAGATTCTACCAAATAGCACGACAGCAGTGGTGCAAAGTTCCTTGCAATGCCAATGCATGCAACATTGCCCTCAGAGCAAAGTATTCAATGACTTGAGCAGAGTTTCTAAGATAAGGCTCCCATTCACAAGTCTCTTACTGTTTGCCTAGCTCTGCATCACCACAGACTTTCAATGCTTCCTTTAGTTGCTCGCCATCTCTCTCCTGCAATCACACTTTTGTACATGTACTCAAGTTTTCTCTTGCACATTCAACCGAATTGACTGCTGTCATGACAATTATCCATCTTAATCACAGCATGAATATGAAACTATTTTCACAAACATGGTACATGCTTGCCCACTCTGTCCTGTCTTGCAGGATAGGCTGGCAGGATGTGAAAAAGTACCATTGTCAGGGCATGTGCTCACACCAATTGAGGAAACTATGATTAGTTGAGGGATGCAATGCATTTTTGCAGATGACAAAACTGGAGGATACAGAACGTGGAATGCTTGTCTGTTTTGTTTTGTGATTTTTGCTCACACTGTGCTGTTTTACCCACTTACATACCACAGCATTGCCTAATGGTACTCCGTGATGAGCCTTATCCGTTACTGCTTAGCCCCAGTTGATAACCCTGTTCCTTTTCCATCTTTCTAGATCCTTCAAAGATTATATGTATTTTATTGTTGACCTGTACCAGATTTACCTTGTATAGCTAAATACATACTAAAGGTATAATTCTGCAGAGTTTCACTTGCTCACCTGCCATAACATCAGCAGAATGAAGACAGAAACCAGGAGGGTAAATGCTGTCATGCCATTTTTCCAAGTCTTCTTCTGAATGAGTTCGAACTGCACAATGTACTTTCAAGCTGAACCTATACTGCGTAAGCTAATTGCTGGAACATGAAGACAAAGTGAAGCAACAAGAACTGAAAACAAAAATGCTGGAAATCACAGTGGGTGAGGCAGCACCCATGGAGAATGAGCAAGCAAAATTTTTAAATCTAGATGATTCTGATGAAGAGTCATCTAGACTCGAAACATTAGCTTGCCCCTCTCCATGGATGCTGCCTGACCCGCTGTGATTTCCAGCATTTCTTTTTTCAGTAAAGATCCCAGCATCTGCAGTAATTTGTTCCTACATTCAAGTTACAAGAAGTTGCACACCAGATAAGAGCCAATTCATTCCATTGTTTTTTTATCCAGCAGGAAGTATACTTGCAAGCTAATTTTTGAGACCATTTTAGGAACTCAGTCTCAGATGGGCCTTCATGATAGGGTCCCTGTGATCACTATTGTTTGCTCTGCAACCTGAGTTGTCATTTTTAATTCATCTGCTCATACATCAAAGGCCACTTCTATTTCTGCATCATTTGGTTCTCTTGTCCTCTCTGCCTTCCGATGTGTTAGTTCATCACCTTCACTCTCTGAACTCCTCAAGTAGATGTCATGGGATTGCTGGGTGCAAGAGATAAGGTGAAGGATAGAGTGAATGACTGCTCACATGTAGCCAACATCCTCCATTGTATCTTGGCTTGCAGCCCCCGGAGGAAATCGTTAACTCTTGTTTGTTTGAATGATATTCCATCTTAATCAGCTACTTTGTGAATCTCATATGAGGAAAACAAATTATGCATTAAACAAGGAGAAGGTCCCAGTGAAAGAACAAAGATTGCCACATATCCAACTGCCGTAACATTGTAGAGGCCAATTATTTCCATTGTATCCTCTGAATGGCTTGCTAAATGTCAAATGTTGGCACACCCATCCCCATGTGGCCTGGCATTCCCTAGTATTGTGTCTGACCTTCTCCTGTCAGCGGAATCTGAGGTACTAATTAGCTGCTGTGGTGACCAGATTCTGCAGTTACAATCAGATGGGATTTGTGGAATGGATGTAGTAAAGATGGTGTAAAGGAATCAGGAACCGGGACGTGAGACAGTACTGCACATTACAGGATGTGAGAAAGTTGGCATGTGTTGGAACATAGAACATAATGTGTGATAGCCAGATTACTTGAATACTTGAATAGTCAAATGTTTCTTTGTGAATAATTTGTTGACTTTGTTATTTATCTGAGAACTCTCTTGCCTTTACTGATCTAGAAAAGTGAGATTAAACTTTGCTTAATACTGCAAGAAGATGCTTCAGATTATCCCAGCCTCAACTGTTGCTTTCCATGTCACCCACACTGCAACAGAGAGGATTAGATGTTTAATCTACCCATTAAAGGACCTGCTTAACCATTTTATTTTATGTAGGAACAAAAATGAGCTCAATTTCACTCGCATTACCTTATTGGGATTACAGAAATCAAAAATTGAACTAGTAGGTTTTGTAATAAATCTGATCCTGACATTCTATGGGTTTCCTAATTGGGATGATCAATCCAAGTACAAATTAAAATAGTTATGTTACTTGAATGATAGTATGGGAACAGAACGATATTCTCTTCCTAAGTAGAGTCACATCCTGACCAATATTCTCTTTTCTGCAGCTTCACCTTTAATACCAGAACATAAGAAAACAGCAAAAACAGGGGTAGTTCCAGAGAAGTCATATTGGACTCAAAGTGTGAACTCTTGTTTCTCTCCCCACAGATGCTTCCAGACCTGCTGAGTTTCTCCAGCACTTCCTCTACTTGTTTAAAGGATAGACCATTCAGTGAGATCATGGTTGAACTGTTACTTCTTTCATTTGCCTTGGCTTTATATCTTTAAATCCTTGGCTAGCAAACAGTTATTCATCCCATTTTTATACCTACTTGAGCTATTGTATTTTTTTTTTGTATTCACCTGTGGGACATGGACATGGGCATTGCTGGCTGGCCACCATTTATTGCTCATCCTTAGTTGCCTTTGAACTGTATAGCTTGCCAGACCATTTCAGAGGGCAGTTGAGAGTCAACCACATTGCTGTGGCCTGGAGTCACATGTAGTTCAGAGCAGGTGAGGATGACAGATTTCCTTCCCTGAAGGACATTAGTGAACCAGATGGGTTTTTCCAACAATTGACAATGGTTTCATGGTCATCGGTAGATTTTTAATTCTGGATTATTATTGAATTCAAATTCCACCATCTGCCATGGCAGGATTGGAACCCGGATCCCAGAACATTAACTGTCTTTCTGGATTAATAGTCTAGCGAGAATACCACTAGGCCATCACCTCCCCTATTTTGCTATTTATAGGACTCAGTTCCACATCTCTACTATCTTTTGTTTGAAATGTTGTAAATTTTCTATTAAATAGCCTAGTTTCGCGTTTAATGTCAACCTGTCCTAGGCTCCCCCACTAGGATGAAAAGTTTCTTTCTAACTATCCTATAAATCTCTTTCAAAATCCTAAGAACCTCAAATGAATCACCTAGAATCTTTCTAAACCCAGTTTGTGCAGTCTCTCCTTACAACCTATTCCTTTGAGCCCTGATGAATTTGCAAGGTAGTCCCTCCAAGGTTAGTATATCCTTTCAAAGGTGCATAGCCTAGAATTATACACTCAACTCCATATGTTGTCTGACCAGTGCTTTATATACATGTAGAAACATTTTCTTACCTTTATATTCTAGACCTTTAGTTATAAAGAGTAACATTCTATTAGCTTTTTTAATTAAATTTTGTAGAGGCCATGACAGTTTTCTTGATTTGTGTACATGAGTCCCCAAATCTATTTGTATATCTGCTGTTCCAAGCTTTTCACCATGTAAATAATCATCAAATGTATCTTTTTCTTGTTCAAAATAGTTAACTTCACACTTGTACTGAATCAATTAATCTTTATTTGTTGTTTTATGCTCTTGACTACACATATGACTATACAATCAATTCTTGTGTCATTAGCAAATTTGAATATATTAGGATATTTTGCACTGTTTTAGTCATAAATATGGTGAAGACTTGGAACCTAGGTTCAGCTTACTAGCATAAAACTTAGCTTATCGGCATTATAACTACTGCTGTTGTTGAAAGGTTAATTGTTTCATATATCACTGCATTACCAAAAAATAGTAATGGCATTTCAAAAGTAAGTTGTTATATAAAATGAAGTGTTCAGCATAAATGTATACTAAATGTTTCTGTTTTAGGCATCCGCATCTTGGATGGGAGAGTAACTGATGCCTTAGAAGCAGCATCTCTCACCTACAATAACAACTATATAGATATCTACAGCTGCTGTTGGGGTCCTAAAGACAATGGGCAGAACTTTGATGGCCCTAGACTACTGACAACCAAAGCACTACAAGAAGGTGCAGAGAAGGTAAAAGATATGAGAATTGATAGTAAAGATTGCGCACAAGTCCTAATGCCTCGGGGAAAGTCTTTTAGAGTCGGGTCCCTTTTAAAGAGAACAAAAAGATTCAAATACCATAGAAGTTCAATAATTACAACACATAAAGGAGTTCAGAGTTGGGGAGGGAGTAGGATCAGGAGAATGGTGGTGGCTGTGGCGGAGGGACCTGGTGGTAGCTGTGGAAGGGGGGTAGTGGTGACTATGGCTGTAGCCTTGGAAGTGTCCATTCTTCGATCCTCCTAACTCAGCCATTCAGGTGGGAAGAGAGAGAGTGTGCCAGATAAGGGGATGAGTGCATGTCATGCTAAAGAAGCTACAAAATGGGGATGACATCTTATCAGATAATAAAGAAGCCCACACTTGCAGGTAACATGATCTGGACATCATTCAGTCTTCAGCTGTTAAATTGCAAGTAACATTCAAGCTTTCCACACTCCTGTTCACTCTCAATGGCATTTCGTCGTTGAGTTCTATTCAACAGGATTTCTTGCAGCGAGGGCACCTTTGGTCAAAACTTAACTTCACCAGCCATATACGTATGGTGCCTACAAGAGCTGGGCAGCTGCTATGGATTTTGCTGCGAGTTACTCATCATCTGTCACCCTAAAGCCTGTTTGCCATCTACAAGATATCGGTCAAGAGTGTGATGGCCTATTCTCCACTTGCTTGGATGATCGCTATTCCAACAATGCTCAAGAAACTCATCACCGTCCAGGACACTGAAATGACACCCCATTGACCGCCTTGCATATTCACTTTCTCCACGAGCAGTGCACCTTGGCTGTACTGTGTACTTATTGTAAGATGCACCATGACAACCCAGTAGGGCTTCCTTGGCAGCACTTCATAATTTAGAATGACAATGGTAGCAACTGCAAGGGAGCACTATGACCAGCAAGTTCCCCTTTAAATCACCTACTATTTCAGCTTGGAAAGATATTGACATTTGTTCACCATCACTGAGTAAGTAATCCTGGAACTCCCTCTAACAGCACTGGATGTACCTTCACAATGCAGACTGCAATAGTTCAAGAAGACCACAGACCACCACCTTCTCAAAGGCAATTAGTAATAGGCAATATATGGTGATCTTTACAACAATATTTTGATATCATAAAATAAATACAAACATTTTGTAAACGGCCTTTATTTTAGAAAATTGTGCACATCAAAACTCGTAATTTATTCTTTTTTAATAAAAGACATCATATGGCAGCTGGTCATAATTGAATATATTAAAGGCAGTATACTTCACTTAGGAGAAAAACGTTTTCTTTTATAGGGTCGTGGTGGGAAAGGAAGTATTTTCATCTGGGCCTCAGGAAACGGTGGCCTTTTTAAGGATCACTGTGGTGCTGATGGGTATGTGAACAGTATTTTTACAGTGGCAGTTGGAGCTGTCAGTAACTTAGGTCTCAGCACCTTCTACTCAGAGGCCTGTCCAGCCATTATGGCAGTAATCCCTACAGGAGGAACAAGTGACTCACCTTATGAAGCAAATATGGCGGGTGAACTAGCCTTGGTGAGTAAGTCTGATGTAAAAATTGAATTCAGAGATATTAAGTAGTAGTACAGTTATTGGATTGTTATAAGTTAATAAACCTGAAATCAATTCCACAAAACATTTCTGATTCTGTTGACTGACTTCTGTAATTTTCATCGCCTCCGAGTATACTATCAGGCCGTATCTGTGTTGTGTGGGTTTCAGCATTACTTGAGGGTACTCTGGTACTAAGTTGCACATCGCTTCTTCCCAGAATTAAGCTCCACGTCCTGTGAGATTCCCGTCCCCAAGGAAAAAGGCAACTTAAGTTCAAGTAGAAGGTGTAACTAATAGCTTTACACAGAATAACTGTGGTATTTTATGGCAAAAGGACAGACTGAATGCTAGAAGAGCATAAGTTGGTGTGAATAATTACTTTTTTGAGCTGACATAATTCAGACAAGTTCTTCCTTACCTTTATAGTGCACTACCTTGCTTAGTTATTAAGTTTTGTGCCTTGGGATATAACTAACTGAATATCTACATCCCACCCATCTAATTCCAGAAGTCAACTAATGTGTTGCTGCTTTTGCCATGGCAGAGTAATGGAGGAACATGCAAATATGAAAGATCTATTCTTTTGTCAGCGACCAAGGTAGAAATGCATGTAGAAAAATTTAAGAGGTTGAGAAGAAACAAAGTAGGGTCTGCAGGCTTTGTAACAGATATGGCAGCATACTGTAGTCTGCTTGCATGTGTCACAGACAAAGTGGGAATGGAATGTATTTAAATCATGATTGCTTTCTTCCTCTTAATCCCAAAACATCAAGGTAGTGTTTGGTTTACTCCTTTCCTTGTTTGCACTTGTCGCATGCTGATTTTGGCTGAATGATGTTCCGCACTGCCGGTTTTCAGCTTCCATTTTATTTTAGATAATCCCAAATCCTTCAAGATGAAGTCATAGATGGAGTTTGTTAACAAAACATTCAAAACACAGGGGAATTTCTTTGCTACTCCACTCATGTAGACAAGTACTCAGAAAACAAAGGGAGACAGGACAGAAGAGGAGATAGGTGACAAATTATACATTTTGGTAAATCCAGGAGTATTAAAAAGCAGTTTATGTCAGTTGGAACTATAAGGAGGTCAATATGCAAGAATAGTTTCTTTGGTGGGTTGGGCCCTGTAGTTTTCTTCCTTGTGGGAAAAATGTAGGCTTCTTTCCGGCTATTAATTTGGAGAATGGAAGGTCCAAGGCAGGATGTCAATTTAGCCTGGAATCCTGCTCTCTCTGTCTTTCCAGAGGTTCAACAGCAACTGATTTTGAATCACAGAATTGTATAGCTCAGAAATTCAATAGGATCTAATTTTAGTCATGTGACAAAGACTTATTACAGGTGCTGATGACCCATCTCAAGGAGGCTAATTGATACATCGGTAAGCTAACAATGTAGCTTTACCTCAGAGTTTCCATTGCAAGGTCATGAGATAATTGTAAAAGCATTGTGTCCATTTTAGCATGATGGGTTTGTGTGTTTCCTCTGCCCTGAGCCGGTCGGAGACAGAATGCTCATCTCCAAGCCTTGCTGTGAGATTTGGCTGGAAAGTCTGTAAAATGCAGGGGCTTCTTGAAGTACAAACCTGTAATCAACCACAGATATTTTGAGAATCCAGCAAGGTTGTCCATTTTTAAAAGAAGCAGAATTTAAACGTGGAAATAAAAAAGAGAACATGGTTTTCTTTGGGATTTCTCCTCATGCCCTCTGGCCTGACATACACATAATGTCGAACTCTCTTTTAGTAGACATGAATGTGTTCTCTGCCATGATATTCTTGTCCAGAATTGGAACTTTTTAAATATTGGTCCCATGACCAATGAACTGAAGATACAGCATTGACCACCTGTGATGCTGTCATAGTAAGTACGGTCCAGTATTGCCAGTTTCATCAGGGCCACCTCCTGTGAAATGATCTTGTTCTTTTTTCCAACTGAAAGGAGTCGTTCTCTTTAAACACTGCAGGGCTCTCATTTGGACGTATGCTAGGTAGAAGGTTCTCTACACCTGAGAAAACACTACGAGGATCATGTTAGAATTTACAGGAGCACATAACGGTGTTGAAAAAGGTGAATTAATTGGAATTGACTGGAGAATTGGCCTCATTGTCTCCAACTGAATGTATTCAGAGTCAGAAATTGATGCATCAAGTTTCTAAGCACGGTTGGACATGTAGGGAATTGCATAATTATTTCAGTGTGTTTACTAAAGACAGTGACTCCAGAATTTTTTTTTAATTAACATGAAAGAAGAATATGAAAACAACGTATTGAAAAGGCCACCATCAAAAGGTTTGATTTGTGTGTGGCAAGTTTTGAAAGGCAGTTGTAGTAATACATCAAAATGCTTCTCCAGGTTCATCTATAATTTGCAGATGTTAAATTTTCAATTTAAAAAAAAATAAACTTACAAACATATCTGACAAACCTGTTGCATTGAAAAAATCTACTGTTATGAATGTTAATATGGCCTATTAGTGATGACCAAGTTGGCCTTCAGTCAGGCATTCAGTAACTTGGACCAAAAGCAAGAATTACTGGACTCACTGAGGTCTGACAGCATCGATGGAGAGAGAAACAGAGTTAACGTTTCAAGTCCAGTGACGCTTCATCAGAACTGAAAGCAACTGGGAAAAGGTTGGTATATATGTTGAAGATGGGGTGGGGAAAGAGGGGAGGAGTAACCAATAGGTGGGGATGAAGCCCAGAGAGCAAGAAAAACAATTGGCAGACAAAGGAGTGGGTAAATGTCAGCCTGGGGGAAAGAATAGCTGTTAATGGGGTCTATCAGTGGCTGACAATGGGTTGTTTGTGGTAGCAGCCCATATGATGGCAAAGCTTGGTGTGTAGGGGTTGGGTAAAGACATGGAGGAAAGTGCCCAAGCCCTAAAATTATTAAACTCGATATTGAATTCTGGCGCCTGTAGGGTCCCCGAGCAGAAAACGAGATGCTATTCTTCCAGCATGCACTGATCTTTGCTGGAATACTGCAGCAAACCCGAGGCAGGGATGTTGGGCAGGGAACACGGTGGTGTATTGAAGTGGCAGGCAACTGGAAGCTCAGTGTCATTTTTGCAGACAGAACATAGGTGATCTGCAAATGGGTCGTCCAGTCTCCGCTTCATCTGTCCAATGTGGAGGAGACCATATTGTGAGCAGGGAATACAATAGACTAGATTGAGTGAAGTGCAGGTAAATCACCACTTCTGCTGGAAGGCATACCTTGGACAGTGAGGAGGGAGGAAGTAAACAGGCAAGTATTACACCAGAGATAGTAGGAACTGCCGATGCTGGAGAATCCGAGAAACAAGGTGCAGAGCTGGATGAACACAGCAGGCCAAGCAGCATCATAGTATTACACCTTCTGGGATTGTAGTGGAAGGTGCCATAGGGATGTGGGGAGATGTTGGGAGGGAAGGAGGAGTGGACCAAGGTGTCCTGGAAGGAACGGAACCTGTGGTAACTCAGAACCAACTACAAGCCCATTAAACTCTGAACCAAAATTGAACCATTCAAATAACTTTCCAATGCACACCTTAATGGGAAAAATATATTTTTGATAGCTGGTACCTCCTCTCATGAGAAAATGGGAAATAGTGCTTTGCTGTCCTTTTGATAGTGCCCATTTCTAAAGAGCTTTTATATGTAGATTTCCATCCTTTCTTTCAGATTATCATATCAGTTCATGCAGGTTAGTTTCTGCCTGTCTCGAACCTGGCATTATTTGTATGAAACACACAACAATTGCCAAGAGTGTTTAAAGAGTTAAACTGGCCTATGTGATCTGGTTTTCTGATTGTGACTATATTGAGTATCTGAAGTGATCAATAAAACTACCAGTTTTCATTTCAAACCAGACTAATTGTCATTGATATCATTACAACTTTGATCCAAGGTGGTGAAATACAATTCTCTGTGAAATTTCCAATATATTTGGACCTAGTATTGTCAATAATCAGAATACAAAGCAAATAACTAGGAAACGATTGACGTAGCTTAATCACAAGAATGCTACTCTCATATTTGCCCTTGTTAAAATTTCCTTGATGTTATACATCCACACCTTAATTCCTATTCTCAAGCATGTCTTGATTAATTGTAATGGCTCCTTGTCTAGGCGAAAGAACTAAGGGTACATATTTCTTGCAGTAATACCAGTTCAAATGGGTACCTGATATAGTAAATAATATTATTTGTCAACTATTTGACTGTTATTTTAGAAGTGTTTTTGTTTTGCCTGCAGGAACCTGCTTTGCATTTAGTTCTTTAAATGAATGTTCATGGCATCAGTTATGAGTCAATTTTAAAAATGCACATTCCCCAAATACTGTTTAGTCTGCAACAAACTTACCAGAATTTAAACTGACGTTAACAATACATGAGAAGTACTGGACTTGTATCTCTCCTATTTAATGTTAATTGCAAGGTTTCTCAAAAAAAATTACATTATCGTATCCTATTAAACAGAAGCATTTTATCTGTCTTTGTGTCACCTCACCATAACTGCTTAATGCCCATCTGTTTAGCTGGTGTTAGGAAAAATGTCCATTTGAATCCTTTAACTAACTAAATTAGGTCAAAGTTGGAATTGGAAAAAAATTCAACCTCTACGCTTCTTAAGCCATTATGGCAAGGAAGGAGGCCATTGGCCCATTCAATCTGCAGCAGCTTTCTGCAAATGCAAAAACAGAAATTGCTGGATAGACTTAGCAGGTCTGGTTTTCTCTGCACAGATGCTGCCAGACTTACTGAGTTTCTCCAACAATTTCTGTTTCTTGTCTGTTTCCGATCTCCAGCTTTTGAAGTTCTTTGTTCTGTTTAATTTTATCTTTGCAAGTGCAAACAGGATGCCACCAACAGTTGAATTGCTGCGACATCTTGTTTTCCTGGAATGATCCCGCACTTGTTTATACAGCTATATATTTTTTAGCACCTGTAACAAAAAGTATATAGCATATTGTGAGTACTTAGTGGTATAGTGGAC